ACTCTGATCATTCAATATGTTAATATCATCGATTGTCAAATTCACGCATGAACGTTTAAATGCCTTCATACAGTTAATCATCACGTTTAGTTTGTCTGATTTATTGCAACAGGCACAGATGAGATTGGTTGGGGACCTGTCGGTACGTCTATGGTTCTGTACGACCTAACAGTGGAATTTGTTGTTGACAATTGAAGAGATTAACTTCGCAAAAACGTGTAAACAATGCAGAAATCTTGCATATTTCGCGTTATCTTCTCTTCTATCTTTCAAAATTGAATTTCAACTATATCGTATAGATTTCCGCCTGCACTTGCACCTCGGTTAAGATGGTAGTATGACCCTTGACAGGATTCAGGAAGGCCCAGCTGACTCCACAGACGCGGATCACTACAGTCAACGGTAGAAGATCCAGCAGAGCTTCCCTTGCACTTAATGGCGTTGTCCGCACTGCACTTGTAATACTGGTACAAGCCAATCGCTGAATTTTATTGAGTTTGGCCTTAGTCTTCTCGGTTCAAATGCGAGGCTATCAAACCAGGGAGCCATACAGAAGAGATGGACATACTATCGTCGTATAAAGCTAGTGCACCACTTTGGGTTTAAGCCCCCACCTCACTCCGACAACACGTCTTCAAGCCCACACCAATTACGAACCTTGCTAACTTTCTGCTCAACATGCTCTCTCCAATTCAGTCTACAGTATAAGATGATTCCTAGACATTTTACTGATTGGGATAGAACTAGTTTAGTCCCAACGAAGGACGGCAAGACAAGCATGTTAAGCTTCCTTCTCGTAATGAATAGGATCAGCTCGATCTCTCCAGCGTTGACAGGATGGTCGACCTCCCCACACCACGATTTCACAGTGCGCAGAACCTAATTTCAGAGAACGTTCTACAAAAACGACCACTAACCACTATGCTTAAATCGTCCACTTATGCTTGCACATAATATGAGTCGCTGTAATGCAATTAAATGCACCTACAATGTCTAAAAAGGCCACGAGTGCCACTTCTCGCTGATCTAGACTCTTTAACTGCCTGCCGACCAAATTATGTAAGGCCAGATCAGTCGATTTCCTGGCCTGGTATGCAAACTGATTCGAATGAATGGCACACCTCACCAGCGGGCCATCCCTCAAAAATCTATCAACTATCCTTTCCATTGTATTGACCACGAAATACGAAAGGGTAATCCTACGAAAATCCCTCAGTCTATTAGTATAACAAGCTCTGTCCGGTTTAGGAAGAAACACTACTTTAGCCTGCCGCCATGTGTGAAGCCTGTGGCCACACATGCTCGAAACACCTTCAAAAGGTGAGGTGCAACCGAATCCCGTCCTGCTGTAACATGGACAGAAATACGCCGTCCAAACCCGGACTTTTGTATTGGGCAAACGACTCGATCGCCCATACCATCCTATCAAAGGTGACAATCTCCCTTGCCATGCATCAGTTTTCCCCTGAGGGTATGCGCAGCTGCATGCACTCTGTGATCGATTGCGCTACTGTGACACTGGGAAAGTGCGTATCCATCAGCAGCCTCAGAGTACTTTCCTCGGAAGTAATATTCCCAGAGATCCCAACCTTGCTTTGGTATCCTTGTACAGAATTCTGTGTATTCTAGCTACGAGTATAGCAGGAATGTCGTTAATCGACCGGCAGATGTTCTTCTAGGATTCTCTGGAGGCCGTTCTAATCTCCTTTGTATATTCTTGCAACGCCTTCTTATACTCTACTAAGATGTTTGCGCATACCTTGTTTCCCATCCTCTAGCTCCTTAGACCAGACGGCTGCTTTGCCCTTGCCTTGAACTTTGCAGATGAAGCTCTCAGGTCTCTGCTCAGAGACTTCACAGCTGCTTTTGCATCCTAGCCCCTATGAAGGCTGTTTTGAAGCACTCCAAGCTTACCATCAAGATCTGCCCTAAAGGTCGCCCAATTAGTACGCCTAGGAGTCCGAGCGTCTTTATCTGAAACCTTCTCATCAGCCATAAACAAAAAATGCCAAAGATCCAATAGAGAGAGTGTTAGAGAGACTTTCCCGTCGCTAACCTCCTCAGTTGTCATAAGGGTGCCCAGTGTAATATCGATAACCTCTTCTCTGACATTGTTACTGAAAATAGGCGTGTTACCGACATTCAGAACCTCAAGTTTCGTTGTACTTAGGAACTCCATGAGCTCTTCTCTCCGTCTGATGTTGTTCGAGCTGCCCCACATAACGTGGGGTGCATTGCTGTCGCACCCATTAACAAGGTCAAGTCCACAATCCCTAACATATGCCACAAGGTCCTCAATTTCTTAGACGGACTACGTTCTCTTGAATCATAAGGAAGGATCCCTGTCAGCGCCTCCCCTCTTATATCTAATTCTAAGTCCCTAAAGGTAAGTTCTTTGAATTGCCATGAGTTAATGTTAGCCATAACACAAGTTCTGGGCTTAGTATCCTGGATGAGGGCCACGTCGTAGCAGCCTCCAGAGGTCTCCTGAATGATAGCTCTTGAAGCCGCTATGCAGCAGGTACTGTAAGTTAATTTGAATGAAATTGAGACTTACCATAGGTGTTGTGAGAGGCGCCTTCTACACGTTCCCGGAAACCGGTTTATGTGCCCCTATCCGGGCATAAGGCCGCTACCGCCACATTCGTTGCTGTCGCCGCCGTCTTCATCCCCGCTTCCGCGGAGGAGTTCTCGGACCCGGCTAAGAATGCCGTCTTCGTCCTCTGAGGCACGTTCAACCGCCGGGTCCTCCTCGATGTTTCCTGTGAATATACTGCTAGGACCCGCCGTCTCCCTGACGGTAACAGCCGGAGGTTCCAGCGAGAGCTGCCCTGTGCCCCACGGCTGCTCCCACCGTTCCGGATGGCCGTTGGTCAGACCCCTGATTTGGTGCCTGACCAGTCCCGACAGATGTCGCCCCGATGGCTGACTGTTGTTTTTTGCTCAGGTGTGTGAACACCTTCCAGCTTACTCCACAGTAAAGCTTGTTGTTCTCGATGACCTTCCAGCTAATGGAGTCCATCGAGAGAACAAGTCGGACCCCTTTGGGTTCCTCCTTCCTCTCCAGTAGCCTCCACGGACTGGGGTGTGCTCCAGGATTATGCCTTCTCGTGATGACCTCGTTCCCCAGGTTGGTACGCGGGAACCAGGCCATCACGCGGTTGTAAACAGTAAGGTCACCGAAACTAATCATAATGAGCATAGCATCTTCCAATGGCCGCAGATTTCCCATGTGGGCCTCTAACCATACCCTCGAGGACTCGTCCTCGCAGACAAAGATGGCTCGATGGCTGCTTCTCGTAGAGGTAACAGTCAATGTAAAGCTCCTGCTGTACCTGTGTCTCGTTGAATTGAGTCCCGTAATAGCCATCGGGTACAATAGCTATCCTGAGACCCATGCGCATAGCTATTATGCGCATGTGCCGCGAAGCTGCACCCTCCGCCCTACCGTCATGCGCCTTTAAGCACGGGAAGCCACACTATATGTTGGGTTGTGTACCATTGCCCAGGATGGTGATTGAGTTGCAGACTAGGTGTGCAAATAGTTTATCCCACGTACAAAACGAGTTCACAACAAGTGTACAATAGCTTGTGCTAAGTTAACAACTTGTAGGAAAACCTACATTTTGTCACAAAAAACCTACGAAATCAAAGAAAAACCGACAAAATGTCACTTTCCAAGATACGTAATACCCGTGCCGGACACCTGTGAGCCAAAGAATAATCTAATTAGCCGAGTTACCAGCTTTTAAGCGGGTCACCTCAAACTTGGTCGAGGCGACTCACCAGTGCCCCCCCACATGGTCGCTCATGGGTCAGCATCAAAAGGTCGCCCCGCAGAACGGTTTCGAGGACGTACGGGGTCAGCCAAATTTGAACCCCACCGTATAGTCGTTCCATTATAGTTGTTCGTAATCGTCATTAATTACACAATCGTAATACTTATACTATACTTACTCATTGTAATCAAAGTAATAAATTATTACTTTGTAGAAAAGTAACGAATACTCGCTAGTAACGAGAAGTAACAACTCTACAACACACAAGTGAACATAAGACATAAATCAAATTCAAGTGGATAACCGAATGACAATGGTATTTACCATTTTGGGTTGGTATTTACCGATCCGTTCAAGCTAGTGTAGTTATCAGTTTGGTTATAAGAATGAATCAGCTGTTATATGTCACAGTTATCACCGCATAATTGTGGTATTTACCCAACTCAGGAGCAGTTTTATATTTCTGGTTATTATTTGAAATGTGACAAGTTAGAATTTTGCCGGGTATTGGATATTGTTATTGTACTTCAGCTTCATTTTTGGGAAACTTGATACAGGCCGACTTCAGTGTTAGCATAAAGTGGAGCACCTTGTTAGTTATACTCATTACTGTTGTTGGGAACACTTTCAATCTAGTTCCTATGTTTAACAAAATATCCTGTGTAGCCATATACCACAAGAATATTAAAATATGGCAATTTAACTCACTGGATGATGTCCACCTGTATACGGTTTTGCTAATATCTTTTTTCATAATTTTTTCATCATTTCTGCTAAATCAATAAATGTTTTCTTTGACATGCGGAAAACTTTAGAGAATTGAAAGTTATCATAGCTACAAAACCATGGTTCCATCATTAAAAATGTTTTTCTGAAAAAAAAAACATTTCTCCCATGAATATTATGAAAGTTTTCTAATTTAAACTTTCGATACACCGTCTTAGACAAAAAAACACCGATTATTAAGTGATAATAAACATAATTTGAGATTATATACGCACTTTTCTAAAATAAACAAATTGCAACAAAACCGCGGTTAAAACCAACGCGTCCAAGCGATTCTTGTAACTGACGTCATCGACACGTGTGTCATCTTGAACCATATTATAACCGCATCACATAACACAGAAATTTTGGTTATTCCCTTGGATTTGATTATATACACGGAACGACTCAAATGTGAACGCAGCCCTGGTAATCAAGGTAACGTTTACCACTGTTCTGTGATTAGTCTCAGGTTCTACCAACGTGAAGTTAAAAACATTACTACACTTAGTGATTTTGGTAACTTTTCAAAACTTCCTTTTCAGGTTAAACGTCAACTAAAAAGGTACAGATCTAAACAAATCCGCAATTTTCTAAATATTTTGAAACCATCGTGACTCATTTGTGGCATCATAACGCACCTTTATCATACGACTATACCCTAATCGGAATATTTTCTCTATTTTCAGCTTTACCTTTGGAGATGTCGGACGTTGAAGTGTGAGTACCTAACCTAACCCCCAAAATATAAACGAATAACAATGTTTCTTGTAGTGATGATGCCCCTGTGGCCCCACCGGCGACTGGAGGACCAATGGACGTTAACCAGGCCTTGCAAGAAGTTCTGAAGACTGCCCTCATTCACGACGGTGTTGTTCACGGTCTTCACGAAGCCGCCAAAGCTTTGGACAAGAGGCAAGCTGTGCTTTGCGTGTTGGCCGAAAACTGCGACGAGCCCATGTACAAGAAGCTTGTACAAGCTCTGTGTTCTGAACACCAGATCCCTCTTATCAAAGTAGATAACAACAAAAAATTGGGAGAGTGGTCTGGACTATGCAAGATTGACAACACAGGCAAAGCAAGAAAAGTTGTCGGATGCTCCTGTGTCGTGATTAAGGTCAGTTGAACTAAATTACTCTAAAAACATTCTATTTAGCACTTGCAGCTGAACTATATTAACTTGCTTTTTTTTATTTGGTACAGATTATATTTTATTTCATGTCTTGCAAAATAGTATGAACAATTTAGTTGTGATCTGTAGTGATGCTTTTTATTTTAAGTAAGTACATTCATAATCAATTCACCAAACAAATTGTTTCACAGCTGACAGAAATTTGCTGCCAGAACATGCTGATTACTGTTTTGGTAATAACTTTATTTATCTGGTTATTATGAATCTGTTTTTTGGGTGTTCAAAGCCACTTTTCAATATGACGAATTTTACATGATCAGTATTTACTGTGATCTGTCATTATATATGATGTTATATTTATTGGCAATGTACCTAGGATGTTAGTTATTATCTCTATATTCAGGATGTCCAGAAATCGCAGTATGATCCTGCAACTGGAAATCACATTAACTTACTGTTCAAAATTTTGTTCAGTCAAAAGTCTCATGGTTTTTGAAATATATATCAATCAATTTTTTTATCATAAATTGACACTTGACACATTATTGCCATTTCTATGTATATATTTTTGAGCTGGGTTGGTTTGAAAATATTTGCAATTGATTGTTTCATCTAAATCAGTATTGTTTTCTTATGTTGTAGCATAATACTCATGGAAAGTAACATAAAGCAACATTTTAATGGAAACCAATTTGTAAGGATGCATGAAGTACTACTTTTTTCAAAAGGCAGAGTACCAGGCACTTTGTGGAGTGATTTGCTCTGAGTTATTTCACTTACTGTTAGTGATACTTATATTTGTGTTTGAAATATCCCCTTTTCCTCAAAATTAATTTACTTTTCCAAGAAATTAATTCACCACAATTGAAGAGTGGTAATTCAAAAGCGTCTAAGTGCCACATTTAGAGTGTTGACTCACACAACGGTTTGTGCCGACTCAGCTACTAAATCCACTGCTGCTTCAACATTGCCACACACAATAGCTTTTCCATCAACAGCTGGATGGTCATTGAGAAAACGCTGTTGGGAGAGATCAAATGCAAGTAGTAGCCTTTTAATTCAATCACTATAACTTTTTCCAGTCACGTCCCATAATGCTGGACGGTTATGTATTTGACTTGGTATGTACTAAGTAAGGCGCGTGAGCTTGTAAAAAACGATGTGTCTGTCTTCGTCCATATAAAACAATGTAAACAAGCGCCGCGACAGTAATAAAGCCGAGTCGTTTCTTGAAGAGTCGGCTCTGCAGCTGCCAGGCGACGATTGCGGCGTGTGTGTTTCGCAGAATTTGAAAACATAAACTTATGTGTCGTCTCGGCAGTCGATTCAGCCGCCGAGTCGGCACATACCGCTGTGTCTGTCATCACTCTGGTATTTTCTACTTTAGTGATTTTAGGGTCTATGTACCATTGCCACTAGTATACCAATGTTCCAGACAAGAATCTGCAGATCTATATACACATTTCAAATTCGCCTGCAGTCTATCTGCACTAACATATTGATATGTTTTTCTTTAATTTCTCAACAAATCCTGTTTGGCACTTGGATTCTTTTGAATTGTCACTCTTTAATTGTGTAGCTTGGACAATTTTCTGTGGGTAACCATTGCAGGATAGTGCATTTACATTATTTTACGGAAGTATTTTCAAATATATAGAGTTGTTGTGCATGTTTTTCACTGTGAAAGTCATTGGTTTTTTGTACTATAGAATTTGATTGGGAGGTATGTAGTTCATTAGCAATATATGCCTGTTAAGAATGGACTTTGTGACAGAATGGGATTAAAGGCCACTTGCAAGTTTTTTTGAAATTCCTTGGAGTTTTCTGCTATATACCTAAAAATTGAAAATAATGAGGTTGCTTAGGGTGTATTAAACTAATTTTTTTGTTAGGGGGTCCCCACACCATGGTTTTATTATTTACATTTAAGTGGCACCACTACATACTAAATATTGTGCTCTTTTGTGAAAGTGAGATATTTTCTTGCAATAAAAAGTTTGGATGCACCAAGTACTCAGTTTGTGCCTGGTACTTGGGATACCAATTTTCTGGAGCACCTGATTTTGCACAGTATTAAATTAGTTGACTGGGTAATTACTTGGTCTGAATGTATGTCGCACAACTTACTAAATATTGTGCTCTTTTGTGAAAGTGAGATATTTTCTTGCAATAAAAAGTTTGGATGCACCAAGTACTCAGTTTGTGCCTGGTACTTGGGATACCAATTTTCTGGAGCACCTGATTTTGCACAGTATTAAATTAGTTGACTGGGTAATTACTTGGTCTGAATGTATGTCGCACAACTTGTTTGAGTCAAAGAATTGTGTCTGATAATTTAAACCAGAGCACATACTCTTTGACCTAAACCTTCCAGATATGTCCTCCAAGCCATTCACACACCATTAAAGAAATAACCAATGTTAGATTTTTTTTGCCGAATCACTTATCTGATTTGGATGATTTTTTAGTAAATGTCGACCGACTTCCCTAGTAAGCTAGTGTATTCACAGCATTTGCGTAGCTTATTTTATACAAGGGAAAGGGTGGACGACACTCCGACTCTAACGAGAGAACACATATGTACATGCAACATGCACACATTCTGGCCCGCCTTAGTCATCCGCCGAGTAGTACCTCCGCGTTCGACAGTGAGAGACTGTCTGCCACCTGTGGACAACCACAACATCCATAGCCAAGAGAAACATTTCTATGGGACGGGATTCGAACCCCCGCTGCGCAGGGTGACTGATTAGAAGACCCTTGACAGCCAAAAGTTGTGTATTTCTTCTGTATAGTCTCCTTGGAATCTGTTTTTTTTTTAAACTTTAACATCCCCAGTGTCACTCGCACTGTCAAGATGAATCCAATAACACATCTTATGTCAAAATGTATCAAACCATTTGGCCTGTAGACCATAACATAGAATTTTTTTGTCAGGTATGAATTGTCTAATCTGCACAACTGTTCTTTGTGATACTCTCTTGAAAAAGTATAATCAATTTTGAGAATACATAGCCTTTCAAATGGTAAATATAATCTCAACATCACAACAGTTGCAGAAATAATCCAGAGTGCATTAGCTCACTGAACACTGAGTACCGGGTACTCTGCCTTTTGAAAAAAGTACTCAGTCCAACTTAAAAGGTACCCTAAATGATGTTCTTTGACATTTTATGTCCTAAATTTAATTGTAACAAACATCCAAACCTACGAACACGCAGAATGTCACGTGAAGAAAGGTATAACCAAATATTGCAAGCATGCAAGTTGGCTGTTAATTTGTGAATGCCATAAAAGGTACAAAACGCAATCAGAAGTTATATAAATAAAAATAATCTTTTATGCTAATTATAACTTCAAGATTGTGAGATCGCGGGTACCAACTAGTTGATGTTAAGGTTATGTAGAAATCCGCTGACATACTGATCGGACCACCGCAGTAAATACAATTCATATGAGATTTGCCTCACTTCTGCCCTAAGTCGCTAAACGAACCTTAGCACCACCTAGTTTAAATTTCATTTATGGTTACTACCATCCCACGTTTTGATACTTTGCTTCGTGTAGATAAAATTTTGTATGTATTTCTGGAATACAAAGGGCGCTATAAAAGTTTTGCAATATGACTTAACAACCGGGCGCAGGAGGCTGGAATTCCAAAGGGACAATTTCATTCATGAGGACGTTAAGAGTGAAAGAAGGCAGCTAACGTCAGTAACAGACGAAAACATTACTGCTGTGAGAAAAACTAAGACTGCAGAGTGACATACAAACAGATAGAGGAGATCTTGCACCTTCATGCACCAGCAAGCATTCAATTGTGCATGACCATTTACACATAAGGAAACTTTGTTCCCTCTGGGTACTTCATAGTCTGACGGAAGAGCGAAAGACTCGTACGACTTGGTGCCGAAAATGTTTGATAAGGGGCAATCTCGGTATGTGAGCAGCATCGTGCCAGGTGACGAGACTTGGCTCTATTATTACGATGTGCCGACCAAGGCTCAAAACAAAGTGTGGGTCTTTGATGATGACACACCCGTAGCTGTCAGAAAATGCCGATCTGTTAAGAAAAAATGTATGTTTCAAATCGACGGGAATTGTGGAGCGTGTGGTTTTTGATACACTGAAAACAATCACAGCTAAGGGTAGACGGAACAATGCCTGCCTAAAGTGAAAAACCAGCGGCCAAAGTCAAGAATGGACACTTGGTACCTTCACCATGACAACGCTCCAGCTCACCGCGTCAAAGCCTTCACCGAGTATTTGACCGGTACTGGACTGAAACTTATTGAGCACCCTCCTTACAGTCCAGATCGTGCTCCCTGCGACTTTGCACTGTTTCCGCATGTGAAAATGTAGCTAAAAGGAAAACGGTTTTCTAGCGATGAGGACCTTCTGAGGGCCTGGGACGAGTGTGTCACACTCCCGGGTGAAACTTAGCAGAGCCGGTTTAAGGACTGGTTTTGGCGGATGGAGAAGTGTATTGAATGTGGAGGAAATTACTCTGAACAAAGTCAATAAATAAAGCTGTATTGCCAAACTTTTATAACATAGTGCCCTTTTGACTATATATCCTTGAATAAATTCTAAACAATTTTCCATCTAGTGCAATGGCATCAAAAGGACGTAGGATTTGTCAGAACCATTAGTGAAATATTTAGGCTTTTCGTGAAAAAAAAATCAGATTGCAGCAATGAGCGTGTCCGTACTCGGTAGCCTCATTTCTTTGGAGCTCTGGTGTAAAACTGTTTCTCAACAATGTTTGAGCTATAATAGCTCTGATACCATATTTATATAGTATACATATTATACTATATAGTAATACCTCACTAAATCAAGAAACCTAATTAAATTACACCACAAGCATAATACATTATACATACCCACATACGAGGGTCACCACGTCGCATCGTCACCCTTCTACCTGCTTTTCCAAGTTTGTAGGGCAGATGTATGATATGTGAAATATGTCTAATATGTGC